TCATATTTTTTTAACATCTAATTTATTGGGACCTTATTAAATAAATAAATCTATCGTCTTATAGCTAGTTCTTTACGGACTCAAGTTAAGTGTCCATATATCATATATTACATTTATACATACAAAAATAGATATAAGTAACGAAATTTTGAGTATCTCTTTGTATTATTGAAAAAACAGATTTTTACTACATAGCCTAAATATGAATATACGGTATAAATAAAAAAAAAACACTTTTTCTTCAAATCTTTGGTATGAGTCAACCGATTTTGACTGTACTTTTATCGATAGGTAGCAGATTTAATTAGGTAAGTTGGAGAATTAACTTAGGCACCGTAAATTTTATTTACTCTCCATTTTTATATCATTGTTTCACTGTTTCATAAGGTGTAATTAGCATACCCACATCCAAAATAATTTTCATGCCTAAACTACTGAACCGATTTCTGTGAAATTTGGCACAGACATAGTTTGGAACTCGAGAAAGGACAAAGGATAGTTTGTATACCAAAACTCTGCAAGAAGTCACTATTCCAGGCGAACGAAGTCGTGGGCAAAAGCTAATGTGATATAACCTTCCTATTCATGCCATAAATCTAAATACCACGTAGCTAGTCTATGGCTTCGTACCTCCTTGGAAACCATAAAGTCAACGACACTAGTTAGTCGATTACCGACAATCTCTGAAGTTAGGCCTTGAATTTAAGGTTTCGTAACGTTAAGATAACCTCTCAGTTCAACGGATATTATTTTGATTATTCTGTGGACAGTTTTGTATTTATTTTACCTGTACTTAAAATTTGTTATAGTTCTGAGTGACAGGAGGCTAAGACCACCCGCCTTTCATACATGAGGCGATTATTGGTGAGGGTAAAATCATGAAATGTCTTTTCTCGAGTTCGACCATCGTCTAGTTGTAGTGTTGTAAAAAGGCTACTGAAACAACTACAATTTTTGAAATATCACCTCGATTTCTCTGGTCTTTCCAAGAAAAAAAAAGCATTATCATAATATGTTTATAAGTAACGGAGATATCGGCGAACAAACATAAAAAAGCATATATACGAATTGAGAAACTCCCTCCTTTTAAGAGGTCGTAGTTGAAGAAAAAACAGCGTGTATTCATCTTCCAATCTCATTTTAAGTTTGTAATCGCAAATCGACGATGATCAATCATGATGATTTAAGTTTTAACCTTATCCGTGTGAGAAGAGGCTTTTGTTAAGCAGTGGGCGCTTATAGGCTAGTGGTTATGATGATGTGTGCCATGGGCTAAGGGTTTTGATACTACCATTGTTTGGATACTGAACTGATCAATAGTTGGTAAAGAAATGGCTTCATTAAATGCCTTTTAATTTATATATATAAATGGCTAGTGTAGTGCGTACTGAGTTAACCCGTGTGTTCTGCTGAGAATGCTCTGAACACTTTTTAAATTATTAAGTATTTATTTTTTAATGGCATGACTACTTAGGTATATGCGAGGATTATATATAGATTTTATATAGGTTTTGGTTTTTTGCTAGGTAGTTTTTGTTGGCTAGCTACAGTTGTTAATGTCAACAACGTTATATAAAAACAAAATATCACTTTTCATTATTTTAGGCCGAATTTTCTTACCGATCTTATTGTTAATGAAGTGTTTCTCAACAAAAGAGATTTTCAATTAAATAGCTTATTTATATAATTTGAATTTATTTTTCTTAAAAATAAAGTTAAGGTCATCTTTCAGAAGTGAGTTAATGTTTTCCCTCATAAAAAGTATTATTATATTTTTATTTCCAAAGACAATTAAGTTAATATTTATTATTTAGAAAATACTGTATAAAATAAAGTTTATCCAAAACTGAATTACAAAGTAACATTAATTAATTGCAATTAAGTCTGCAACTGCATTGTCTAAGATGAGAGCAAAAAATGCGTTATGCATTTTATAATTACTGCATTCGATTAAATAGATGTATTTTTTATCACATTTTTAATAATTCTTTGTTAATTAAATCTCGCAGACATACACACGATTTGAAAACATCCTATTGGAAACATAAGTGCTTGAAGATTTACGAAAGGGGGTTATCGTTCGAGCATGGTTGGGGAAGCCTTTAGTCTGACATTCACTAGGCGAGAGAAGTCATTTGATGATTCCCAGACTGGAGCAGGAGAAAGGAATAGTGGAGTCGTACCTTCTTCGCTCCAGGCCGAGGTCCTGGACTTTATTGTGCTCGCGCCACAACCCTAGCTGAAAATGGGCCTTTTTGGGCCCCATCTGTGGTGGTTGTTGGAACCTTAACACTTAAATACAGTCGAGTTTTAATAGTATTTGTACGCGTAACGTTTTAGTTTTTGTGCTTCGTTCCCTTTCAGTTTGCCGTTTTAATAAACTATCTATGGAAGTAGTTTTGTTATCCAATACCTTAATTTACACAGTGGTCTACTGGCTCTTTGAGATGCGCGCGAAACGCTCGGGTTTAGTTCTAGTCGTGCGGCGAACTATCCTTGCTTGCCGTCAGCATACCCATGTTAACGGTGACTGGAGTTTCCTCGTTCGATCATCGACGTCCAGATTGTAGGCTACTATGGCGGCTGGGGCGGATAATTCAGTCACGCGCTCGGATGCGAGAGGTCACCGCCGATCACTTTCCGGGAGCAAAGGCAGTGCTCAGCCAAAACAGGACACTCCATAATCGTATGCGTAACCACCCTGTCCTACCGGTGGTCCGCACAATAATTTTATTTTATTTTATTTTATTTCACCTGGTCCGAATGACGTCTCTCCTAAGAGAAGCGTGTTATTGCTGCTATAACAGATTGCCCGAGTACGAATTCACTAGTGCAAGTTTTAATCACGTTAACGCGATCAAAACGTTACCGCGTTTAGCACTCTGATTGGTTGGTCAACTTTGAGCTGGCCAATAAGAGCGACGAACGTCATAAACGTATCGATCGCTTTGACGTAAATCAATGCTTCACAGGTGCCCTGATAGTTAAATATATTTACATAGATCGATACTTAGTTTTAGTTTTTTAAGTGTCTTTTTTGCAACTTAATGACGCGCGTGATTGTCGGTAAAACTTAAGAATAATATAAAAAAAAAAGAACTTGATTTATGTTTCTGACAGCGGTTTCGCCCGCGATACCAGTGTAAAGGTTCATCTGTTTTGTTGGACAAAAATTTTGTATTTTTTACCAAAGTCCAAATCCGTTTTCGATTTTGCACGAAAAAGTATCTCCTGAACTCGAATGTCAAGGTAATAAATTATTGTATTCTAGCAGCCCGCTCCTGCTTTGCACGGATTTCCAACTATGTTCCGAGATTATTTTCCTGATTCTCAACCCTACTTTTTTTCGTGTAAACCTTTTCGTGTCTTTATAGAACACAACAAAAAAAAAATGAAAGAATTGGTCCACCCGATATCGAGTTATGCGCTTACCAACACATTTTGCGATTCATTTCTATAGAGACGAGGATGGTATACAGAAGTGGACCTATCAATAACAAGTATTCGGAATGCTAAATACAATATGTACCTAGATACGGAAAACCAAACGTAAAAGTTATATATAAAAATCCCTATGGCTGTTGTTAAGGCGCGTTTTTAGACTACCTAGGTAATCTAAAATTACTGCGCAGTAGCTGGGTTGCTACTCATGGCGTTTTTAATTCCCGCACATAACCACTCTTTGTGAGATCTACTTATATGTATGAATTTTTTTGTGAAAAAATTAAATTCGAAAATTTTTCCGAGTTTGAGTGTGATGTCCATACAAAATCAAATGTGTATAAACGCACCCCAGACAAAGGATTTTTCACGACACAGAATTGCACAAAAAATAGGATCCCAAATAGGTCAATCGACGACATTTAAAACCAAAAATTTTCCAATGTTATTAATTTTAGAACGCATTTTTCAAATCAAAGATCATGCATGACGCACGTGGTTTTTTTAGATATACTATTTTGGAATGATTAGAACAAATTAATAAAATGTTTTTTTTTTTAAAAAAAACCATACTGATAAACGACGAGGCTAGTTCGTTTTTTAAAATTATATGATTTTTTTTAAAATGTCAAATTACGATCAAGGTAATTTATTCTAAGCCCGAATTAGCCACAGAATGACAAGATAAGGAAGTTTTTTTTTTATTTTTTGTTAATTATGATGTTAGGCATTTTATGGACTGAAACGATAAGACGTCGACCAGTTAGATTATTGTTTTTTAACATGTACTTACCTACGTAAAACCTAACCTTGAACATTGATAATTTTATATTAGGACCAAAAGTCAAGTTTGTTATTTCTTCCCGTTTTAAAAAATATGTCGAATGAACTATTAAATAATAAAATAACTGCCAACTTTTTATTAATTATGTAAATATGTATAATAAACATAATAATCTAGCTTTAATTTTTTATGAGATAGTTCGGTACACGATCTTACGGACACTGGATTGTAAGCAATCGGCGCCGCCCATGAACACGTACAAAATCAAAGTTTAGTCATTTTTGTGAGTTGGTATTTGAGGATTGTGGTGGATTAGGTTTTCTGTAACCTCATACACACAGCGAAACATAACGAAATCGTATTACGGTACACTGTGAGGCCATGGTATTACTCCATTCGAGCCGGCCCATTCTAAGCTTCAGAATAAAAGAGAATTCCATATTTTGCCAAATTGAAGTAATGCTCAAAATTCACGTCCTCACAGAAAGCCGGCGTGAAACACCCACACCCACAGCGTTGTGTTTCGCCGTGTGAGTGAGGTTACCGGAGGCCACATCCTTCCCCTCCCCCGATCCCTCCCCAATACCTAAATCTCCAAAACCCTAATCCCTAAAAGGTCGACAACGCACTCGTAACTCCTCCGTTGTCCATGGGCAGCACTGATTGCTTACCATCAGGTAATCCGTCAGCTCGTTTGCCTACCCAGTTTAAAAAAAATCTCTAATTAATCTAACTTTTATAAAATATCTTCTAAGTTCCTTATTTATCTTTCCAGGTTCGAAGATAATCCTGCGCAGCATCAACGGTGACTTTCGATCAGGGCAACTAACCGCCATCTTGGGTCCCTCTGGCGCTGGCAAAAGCACATTGCTAAACATACTAGCTGGATATAGGTATTTATTTATTTGAATAGTACGGTACGGTACAAAACCAATTAAACTAGGTACTCAATTCTTAGTTTATATATTTCATATAAGATAGGATTATAAATGAAAGAAAAGAAAAATACATATACTATACGCAATACAAATACACAAATACAGGAAAATAATCTTTAATTCTTTTTTTTATGATGCCATCTCAGCCTTCTATTTATACGGCTAGTGTATTTTTAATTTTATATTATTGTTCATTTAGATAATATGCCTATAAAATTCTTTTAACATAAATGTTTTTTCAAATGAAGAAAAAAAGATTTCATTTTTTGCCACAAATAAATTCAAATGCCACTACTTTATTTTATTACAGCTATTAAAATTTTTAACGTGTGAAAAATTTAAGTTAATGTTTTTTGTGTAAAAATAGACTACCTAACCTGTCTGGTATACATAAACATAGTGGAATAATATGACTAAGTTTCCACTGGAGAAAAAAAAAACATATTAATATTTAATTTTTTTTAATTTTTTTTTTTTGCTATGATCCTTAAATTAACTGTACATATGTTTAAATAAATTTAAAATTAAATCACGTACATGTTTTTATTTATTGTTTGTTGCAATTACAATGTCTCTATAGACATATCTTTTTTCTTTTTGTTGCCTTAAATTGTTGTATAACTTTTAAATACAAACACAGCATATACCTATTGTTTATCGAGTTTCATAGACAGGGTACGATTTAACACATTTTTCTGTCACAATTTCGACGCGTGTTGAACTTATGAAATAAAATACGTCAAAACCACAAAACAATACCAAAATAGTTTTAAATTGAAAACGTCTGCACCAAAAGTAAATAAACATTTTCACAAGGTTGCCTGATGTACTTACACAAGCAAACTGGGAATAAATACATATAGGTAAACTTACATAGTTTTAACTTAGTCCTCATACTCTGTACACCATAAACACTGGCTCATTATATATTTCGAGGTCTGTTTTAATTGCTTTTACAAGTACGTTTGTTTAGCCTACTTGTATCGCGTGAATGAAGATGGATATCACATGCATTATTTTGCAAAAGTAATGTAGTTTGAGAAAAACATAAATAGGTACTATATTTTTAAGAAGAAAAAAAAATTTTTTTTTTGTTCTTTGATGGGATAGAGTGGACAACGAGCACACGTAACACCTGATGATATGCGATCAGAGCTGATGTTAAGAAAATGAAACACCTATTAAAAAAAGTGCAACCCATCTCGGCTTTGGAAGGGGGCAATGCTAATACTAAATTTCTCCACTATTTAATGGATGTAGCTGAATACACCTTCCTCTTGAATAACTTTAATGCAGCAAAAACCGTTTCATAGTTTTTAAGATTGAAGCTTAAATATACATATAGGGACAGAGAAGATGAAGCATATACCAATTTGACCATAGATCACTGGTGCTATGTTTCCTTTATGTTCACAAAAATTAAGATTATTTGTTAAGCTTAAACAATAATCTATGAAAATCAAGTTCACAATTAAATTTAGTATTCATCAAATGTCGTGGTGGCCCGGAGGTTAGGGAGCCCGCTTCTCATGTACGAGGGTGTGGGTTCGAAACCCGGCAAGTACCAATGTGACTTTTTCCGAGTTATATGTACTTTCTATGATTATTTAGACACCACTGACATACGGTGAAGGTAAACATCGTGAGGAAACCTGGACTTATAATTTCTAATTATAAGTTTGAAATCGCCAACCCGCATTGAGCAAGCGTGGTGATTAATGCTCTAACCTTCTCCGTATGAGAAGAGGCCTTTGCTCAGCAGTGGGCACTTATAGGCTGATGACGATGATTCATCAAATATACTTAAAAAAAAATCAAAACCGCTAAATTATAAATGAAAAAAAGGAATTAAATTTTCTTACAGGGTAGCTGGAGCCTCCGGTACAATATTCACCAATGGCGAGCCTAGAGACTTGCACCAGTTCAGGAAATTGTCCCGCTACATCATGCAGGAGGATCTTTTGCAGCCATACATCACGGTACAGGAGGCCATGATGATAGCTGCTGATCTCAAGTTAGGCAACGGGATTACTAAGGAGAAGAAGTTGGTTATAGTAAGTATAGTGTATTAGTGCAATGTTACATTAGGCATAAAACACTGTCACCAATAAGTGCGGGTCTGCGGACAGTAAATAAGAGAAGCGCGCCGTCCGACCAGAACCAGGCCCGACTCGGCCCTAGCGTATGGTAAAAGTACTACACTTGAAAAGGTATCAAGTAATCAAAATTGAAGAACAAACTCATCACTTATTAAACAATCCATTCTATTTACAGGCCGAAGAAATCATTCAATTATTAAGGCTACAGAAAGCAAGAAACACAGCGACAGAGAGATTATCAGGAGGCGAAAGAAAACGGATATCAATAGCCCTAGAGTTACTTAACAACCCACCGGTTATATTTTTGGATGAACCTACCACGTAAGTCACAGTTTATGTAACATATATTTTATGTGATAGAACGGCAAACGAGCAGACGGATTACTGATGGTAAGATATCAGCGCCATCCATTAACAACAACAACAGCAACAACGGAAAAGTTACGAGTGCTTTGTCAACCTTTGGGGATAAGGGTTCTGGAGACTTAGAGATTGGGGGAGGGGAAGGATTGGACCTCCGATAAACTCGCTCACACGGTGAAGTACATCGCCGTGATTTATTTATTTATTATTTATTTATTTATTAAAACTTCATGCACAATGGGTACATAGGCGGACTTAATGCCTTAGGCAGTGATTGTCTCACGACGGTTTTTTGTGAGGCCGTTGTATCGGTCCGGTCGAGCTGACCCAATCGTGCTGAAGCATGGCTCTCCCACATTTTATATAATTGTCTTAACACCTTTAAATGAGCAATTCTTGTATATATGTGATGTTTGCCTACTAACTCTGTTCTACTAAAACCGCTCCATCAAATTTGAGGAAAACGTACCTAATTCTTATAAGACAATGATGTTTTTGCAGGGGTCTAGATGACGTGGCATCTTCAACATGCGTGTCGCTCCTCAAGCGAGTGGCTCGGGGAGGAAGGACGGTCGTCTGCTCACTCCACACCCCGTCAGCTCGACTGTTCGCCGAGTTTGACCATGTGTACGTGGTGGCAGGGGGCCGCTGTGCCTACCAGGGCACCGCGCCAGGCGTCGTGCCCTTCCTTAATGAACTGCAGCTCCCCTGCCCTAAGACTTACAACCCTGCTGATTTTAGTAAGTGTTGCGTTATTGAAAAGTTAGATATAGTGTCAATTCTATGTTACTGTTTTTTTTATAAATTGTATCAGAAAAACCTTACAGTATATTTTAAAATAATTGTAATTTACGCGCATTACTTGTATAACAAAAGCGATTCTCATCCAAAGTGAAGTTTAAAACAAAACTAGCCCTGTAACTTCGTTTACATTACGGTAACAAAGCAATTGAAATTATTGTCATATTAGATACATCTGCTTGTATAATTTATGCCCATTTTATGCTTACCCCTTTTTTGTGAGTGGAAAATCATCAAATGACTTCTCCCTCCCAGGGCCGGGCGGGAGGTAGTGTCAGACTCTTACTGAGTAAAAACCCCCCTGTTCCTTCTCCTGCTCTAGGCCGAGGTCGCGGTGCCTCATTGCACTTACCCCGCAACTCCGGCTGATTTATGCTTACCCCTAAGGGGGTCAAACTGCAAATTTTCAAATACATAATTGCAGTAGATTATGTGAAGGTTGCAATAAGTGGAAATAAAAGAATTGCTCAATTACATACGCATTATACATGTCACCAGTGTCATGATGATATGACAATTTACATGTAGCAACACTGTCAGACGTCATACAATGAAACAATGTTGCCATAATTATTTTAACGCCTTGTTTGATTTAAAAGTTTAATAGGTAAATAGGTGCAATTAGGTTCTGTTCCTATATAATTAGTATGTATTAGAATAATAGGATATGGTACGTAATTTATATTAACTTTGTGCTACATAAATATGTCGGGTAGGTACTTAAATAACGGTGGTAAAAAATGTCCTTACTCTAATAAGTAATGATTTCATGTTTAATTAATTCACGGTTGGTGCGGTGGTTGGGCAACTGGCTCTCTCGTGCAACGTTTCCCGGGTTTGACACCCGCATGGAACAACTCTTTGTGTGATCCACAAATTGTTGTTCCGGGTCTGGGTGTCATATGTATGTGTATGTTTGTAACCGCACCCACGACACAGGAGAAAATCCAAGTGGAGGGCATGGTTATTATTAAAAAAGAAAAAAAGGTTGGACATGTACTTTTGTAATATGTTAAATGTTGTACCTATTTATCACGAGCAATTGAAACATTACAGAATTAAATAAACACATTGTTTTAATTTTATTTTCTGTCCGTCTGTTGATAACAATTGCAAAATAGGTGCACGCGTGTTATGTAAATGTATGATGTAACACCTAATGTTATTACTATGTATTAGGTGTATTTGTGACTATTACGTATAGAAAAGTTTTACAACAAAAAAAACTATCAACTCTTCGCCCAACTGCTATATCAAACTTAAAACCCCTTGCTCAGCAGTCGCATTTGTATTTCTTGCAATATAAAACCACCAAATATTTAGACCCTTGGAACCTCCCTAATAGCATAATTATTTAGGGCTTGCTGACCTTGGAACAGGAGAAAGAACGTGGTGGTTTTTAGTCAGTAAGAGTCTGACATTTATTTTCGGAAAATACTCTATGATCTAACGCTTTGGGCCTCAAACAAAAGGAAAATATTTGATGACTATTCACCCTCAAAAAAGGGGCATCCTTATCGTCACGCATCCATTCTCCATCTTCCTTGAGTGCAAATCAGGGTAAATGTTTCCGTTAAACTTGATTTTAAAAATTCTAATTAATATAAAATCATTTCAGTAATTGAAGTATCAAGTGGCGAATACGGATCTCACGTAGATAAAATGGTGTCAGCGGTAGAAAATGGGAAGAACCAGCGATGGAGGACGTATGCTATAGAGGAGAGCCCTCCAGGGGAACTATTTGAAGAGATGGAGATAGAACAGCTTAACACCGGTGGTATTGAGAAGCATAACTACAAGCATGGATGTTCTGCTTGCCAGCAGTTCATTGTTTTATTGAAGAGAATGCTGTTACAGACTGTTAGGAATAAGGTAATATGATCATTAATTGATTTTTTATCGAGGCAATGAAATACTTTAGAAACCATCAGAACACACAATACGTCTACTGTTGAACACAGGCCTACCCCAATGTCTTTCAGGTTGGAAACGAGCTATCCAATGGATCGAAAACGTGAACTTATCGGGCTATTCTTAAGTTTTATTTTATCTAGTTTGATATCTAAAATAGATCTTAAACTTTTTTTAAACAAATGAGTTTTTACGACATTTACGAATTATTTTTACCTTTTCTAGAACCTTTTCTTAAATTGACACTGGTTTGGAGTTTTTGCAACTAAACTATAATTTATCCTTAAAATAACTTTAAAGATAACATTCGCTTTTCTCATACGTGTTCAAATATATCCCCTTCCACTTCTGAATTTTGGTACATTTTTTTAACGCTGTTATCTCCTCCCATGCTATTGTCTTACTTAAGTCTAAAACTGACTCCGATTTTCGGTAAGATCTAAATATCTATAAGATCTACGTGTACAATAATCGGTTAGAATATTAAATGAAAACATTTCTTTCTTCCAGAGTTACCTGTGGTTACGCGTCGGCTTACATTTGTTCATAGGATTTATTGTGGCCAGTCTCTTCAACAAGATGGGTTATGATGCTTCAAAGACTATCTTCAACTTCGGTTTCTGCTATGCCTGTACCATTGCCATGCTTTACATTCCTATGATGCCGGTTTTACTTGCCTGTAAGTATTATCTGTATTTATGCACAACATTACCTAAGCAATCGGCTGTCGACCAGCGTTTCGATTCGTGCCCAGAATCATCTTCTTGTGTAAACAAATAGTTGTTTCGGGTCTTAGTGTCTGGTTTTTGTAAACGCATCCACGATGTTGGAGAAAATTTTATTATATGTAGAACAACGTATTACAAGTGCCATTTCAAATCGTAAGGTGACGCCAACATAGTCAACTCATAGGTGGGGACGCAATATTGGTTACCATCGATAAACCTCTCTTGGGCGGATGTCATAGGAACGTCTGACGAAATACCCCCATATGTTGGAGATAGTGCAGAATCGTTCTCTGTTAAGTCCTTTTAAACTGAAACCTCCGACTTGCCCTTTCTAACTGGATTACCACGTTTTTTATTTTTGCAAAAACGTGGTAATTCATTTATATATTAAGTTAAACGTATAGTATTTGTTCTACTTCAAGCTCTACATTAGAATTCTTATTGCTATAGGTATGTCCATTAGCCATAATATTTTATACGTTGCTATGTGTATTTTAGAAAATAATTCTGCCACCCAGTGTGAGGTAAAAGCGAGTTTCAGAATCTTACTGACTAAAGAAAAAGTAAATTCGCTGGCACCAATTAGTTAACCATATTTATTTTACAATTTCAGTTCCAACAGAAGTGCAGCTGGTTAAAAGAGAGTATTTCAATCGATGGTATGGTTTGAAGCCCTACTATGCTGCGTTGGTGGTGTCAAGGACGCCTGCAACTATTTTCTTCAGCCTTCTTTACTTGGTCATCGCTTATCCCATCACATCCCAACCCATGGAGCTGGATAGGATATTCATGTTCTGTTCCACGTGTATTCTTATAGCTCTAATATCAGAATCTATGGGAACTGTCATTTCGTCAATGTTGAATGTTGTGGTGCGTATTCAATTTTTCTTTCCTTTTTTTTTATGTAATACTATAGGTTGGCTAACGAGCTGACGCATTACCTGATGGTAAGCAATAAGCACCACCAATGGACACCCGCATCTACGGTGGACTTACTTATATTACCATTGGTCATAATTTAAGATTCCAATTGATCAATGAAATAAATTTCTTATTTATTACCACTCAAATATTTGCATCCTCGCTACTTGAAAAATCGCTTAGAATTGCTTACTTCATATAATTATTAATGTTATGTCCATAATTTCAAGAAATTATGTAAAGCGAAGGCGCCTCCTTCTCCCCAGCCCGCTTTCAAAAACAAATTGCCCCAATTCTCAAATCCGTAACCGCTAAAATAGTGGCAATTTTTTTGTTATTCTATAACGCTTACCGACTTATCCCATATAATATAGTTTGAACCGATTCTCGATTTTAGTAGAGTATTCTTAATTATTATTTTGTTCACAGAACTCAGTATTTATGGGTCCCGCTATGAGCGTCCCATTAATGCTGCTAGCAGTATACGGCATAGGTAGCGGAGATGATCCTTTGCCAATAGTATGGAGGCTGGCAAGAGCCTGTTCCTTCCTTCGTTATGGAATTGAGGGTCTTGTTGCTGCAATATACGGTCCTCCTAGAGATGATCTCATTTGCCCAGAACATGTAGATTACTGTGAATATAAAAATGTCGCGTAAGTATAATAAAAAATATATTGAAAAAAGTTTTTCTAAAGAACTTCAAAGTGGTCTTATCGTATGTTAGTACTTAATTTTAAAGTTCTTACAGTTCCCTAAGTACCTACATCTAATAAAATAAGCCTTGTCCTTTATTATTCGTTAAGGTTCTCTGTGGCCGTGTATGTTAATTCAGAAAACTTATTTCATATGGGAGAATCCAAATGGAAATGTTTGGGAATACATTTGAATGTCTTAATTAGTTACATACCTTATCAAAAAGTCGTTTCGACCACTAGTTTCATACCGTCTGCAAGATATATTTTCTTTTTAAGAAACAGGTCAATTATAATTTCCCCAAACATAATTTTTCCGCCAGTAAATTTTCAATCCTTTACCTGCCTAAAATATTATATTCTCTTTTCAGTTACTTCGTGAAACTGATGGGCATGTCTGGTGTATCATTTTGGGTGGATTTTTCCGTGCTAGTCTGCATGTTACTCGCCATGAATCTCACTGGATACTACCTTCTTCGGCAGCGGTTGTCGCCTAACTACGCTTTCAGAGCCATCAAGGTGATTGGCAACTTCATCAAGACCAAGATGAGCTCGTACTCGTGATTCAATTGTTTTTATATTATCATCATCTTTAAGTGTCATTTGAAAAATGATTTTGTACATACTAAGAGTATATATATAAGGAATCCATACTTAAATAACTATATTTATGTAATGTTTTTACCCTTAGGTAGTTTGTTAATATAAGCTTATCATTTTCAAAAGTTGTACTTTTTGTAAGTTCTTTTCCATTCACGGGACCAAGGGGTCCCGGATATTTGGAACGCGTACGTGGGGCCGAAGCCAACTTGCAGAGGCACTTTGAACAACTTTAATATAATTGAAATGAAACATCAGCCGGCAATTATTCCTATGTGCATCTAAGGACAATCACCGGTTGATGCAATACTATTTTGTGAAATGTGGTAAAAATCTTAAAATAGTACTTTTATTATCCAAAAATGTTTAATTTTTTACATAACTTTATTGGAATATGTTGGCTAATAGATTTTCAGTTATAAACGTTAAGAATAATAAGACCAACCACTGTGATAGCCTGTACAGTTTTGAAGTGGTTCCTATTTACAATAGGCATAGTTGAATGGACGGGACTATTTCCTTTGCATTTCTTTCTATACAATTGGTTATGGGGCAAAAATAATTTTAATCACAAAATTCCTATAAGTTAAAAAATGAATTTATTTATACATAAACGGGCCAAAGGAAATGGAAAAATTCCCAGTGTGATAGATCTTTATAAGTGTCGTCGTAATTTAGTGATATATGTACCTAGTTTAAATAAGAATTAATTTTTTTTTATAGTTCATTTTCTACTTAAATATAAAAGAAATAATAGTATATTCAAGGATGAGGATATTTTAAGACTGATTGCACGCCTACATTTTTATAGTTTGCTAAATAAACTTGATCTTTTCATTAGTAAAAGAAAGAGATATAGTTATATTTCTTTCTCTATTTTCCTCTTGAATTTATTTGATTTTAAATAAATTTGTGTGAACCTATAAATAAATTAAATATTTAAAATTATCTTGCAATATCTTTGTTTTTATGTTCAAAATAACATTGATCAAGTTAATATGGTATACAATAAAAAAATGTAGTTGAAACGAATCTTATTTCAAACAAAATATTTAAAATACATCACACTTTACAATATCGAATATGCATAATCGAATATCAAAAACCTTGAATTCGTGTAGGGTTCTGAGAACTGGTTTTTTTGAGAATAGCCCAAATACCTGTGTGATTGACCTTAGTAAAAATGTATTTAAAAAAAAAGGAACTGTATATATAAAATCTCAAAGATTGATCAAGAACTACTAATGATAATACCATTGTGGTATTCGATTTTCGAAATTTATATTAGGTACCTTCATATTTGTTACACAGGTACTAAAAGTATTCATTATTCTAATAATTTTATTATGATACATAATATTTATTATAAAACATATAAATATGTATGTTTATACTTATTAATATGTGCTTTTCAAATAAAAATGTATCTTTGATAAAAAACCTACTCTGTGTAAATTATTATATATACATATATAGGTATGATTAATGGGTTTTGGTTTAGGTAAATCTAAACCACAATAAAAATGTCGAAATAAAACAAATTCCTGTTCTTCAAACGTAGTTTTATTTACCAAATGAATTTCTCACTAAAATAAAATCACGCATTTTCTTTAGATATTTAAAAAGTGAACAAAAAAGTCGATTCAACAAAATCTGACTAGGGCATTCAATTTGCCACTTACACACGAAAATAATAAAATTTCAATAAAGTTTGCAACTTTAATTATAATTATATATATTATCTACTTATAGTGCTCTATCTAGGTGGTGCTATAGTGCACATTGTGTAGATTATGTTTTTTGAATCTATATTAAAGTCATATTTTTGTCATAAGTACAAAGTATGCTATCGTTATATATATAATATTAATTTATTTACATAAAATGTGTTGGAATTATAATATTATTATTACTTAGGAATGTTCTTAATAATAATAGACGCATTTCTTAACGTGCAAATATCGAATAAGTATTTTTTCTACAATGATTATAGCTAGTGAAAGCTGCCCATTGTTACTTACTAAAAATATTATTTTCCCCATAATTTTATCGTGAATAACAAAATACTTTTTCTTTCGATATGGGCAATGGTTTTTAAATAAAATCATAAAAGGAAACAAAAATGTAAGACAAAAAATAGCATATTTTCCAGAATAATAATATTGAAAAAACATTTTGACATAAAAAAAGCATTTGTTTTTTAGTTTTTATGACATTAGTAACTAAGAATAGCCCTACAAGTTTCAACTCACAGGTCATACTTATTCATGAGTAGTGTGTGAGAGAACCGTCATTTAGACTAAATTTCGCAAAATTTTTGTTATTTTAATTTTCGAGTAATTTAAGCTACAAACTGTTCTAGACGATACTGTAGTTCATTCATTATAATAGGTATTTGTTCATAATAGTAACTATGATATTGTCTTTTTCTACAAAATTCGTTTATGTTCAGTTTTGGATAAATATTGAGCACACTTTATACGATTCATAATAATTGAATGTTTTTTTATTTGAACGTCATAACAGTGAATTTTATACCATGGCAGTTTTTGTGATGTCTTGATGGAAATCTCATTCGATCGTTGGTAAACATTCAAAATCATTCACTCGTTTCATTCACTTGAAGTTAGTCTCACATCAACATTAAATTACCAGAAACTAATTACAAAAGAAAAAGATAGAGAAAGTACAAAATGATGAACGTATTTACAATAAATTAATACTTTTTTGAGAAATTAAAATAACAATTGTAAATAAAAATATTAAACTTAATATAACGAGTATTAAACAATTAATTAATTTATGTTACATAGAAACGAGATTTTAGGCCTTGTTTTTTTAGACTAGCTGATTCGAGTGACCTGGTATTTCAGAAAAATACATTCTTAAATGTAGACAATAACTTTTAAAATTTCATCTAAATCGAATCAGCCGTTTTTGAGATTAGCTCATACCAACAGTTTCTTTTTCGGTTTCTTAAAGGAACGTCTTTTTGTAACTGTCTTTTTATATAATTCTTTGAGCATCTTAAATTAAATTAATGAACTTAGAAATAACACTAATATTAACTAATATTGTGATCGTAGCTTGTACTGTAAGGCGAGAACTTACTAATTTACTGTTCTTAATTCAAAATATTGTAATGTAACCTACCAGATAATTTAAACTCTACAAAACTTTTTTTTAATATAGATAATGGCTGCTCCAGAATATTCGAATTTCAAATCGTAGTAGATACCTACTCCTTTCTATATTCTTTTATTTTATGGATCAATACCATCTTGGCAGTATTACAATAAATAGTTGTTTCTTCTAACCATTAATAAAACTAGCCCTCGGCAATTCGCTAGCATAATTCTGACCCACAAACCGTTTGGTTCCAATGTTTATTGTACTTAATTATTAATATTATGTACCACGTCGGATTTTTATGAAAAACTAGAATCAATGAGCTTTGTTCTATTCTATTCCAATATATGGATAATCATTGTTAGTTATAAAGTATAAAAAGTGTAAGTAATCATAGTTACGTTTTCAAAGGAATCTTGTGCTACAGTTTGGTTCGAATATTCTGCGAAACCTGCATTTCTAACTTTATGATTAAGTGATAAAGTCAAAAATGCATTGAGGCAAGCCAAATTTAGTTAGGTAAACCAGTTGGTACACAGACTAAAATAAATTATAAAAGAATTTAAAAAATGTAAAAGAAGAGAAATAATATGACTTAACATAAAAATTTCGAGAACCTGCTTGTTTAATAGAAAAACCGTGAAAACAAAATTAATTGAGCACTAAAATATCGTTTTTAGAAACTCAAGAAAATACTACTTAACGAACAATGAAACCTACAGACTCAATTTGTTTTTTATACTAACCTATATTATAACAGGTGTAAATTCCCACACCAATCTCTTTCTCTAAGTATTCTTTACAAATATATCCACATTCCACATTCCCGGCACTTATAGTGAACTATCTATAATAATGGTAACTACGTTATACTAAATTTATAGTTAATAATAATATAATATACACATAAATTATAATAAAATGTGATGTTAATAAAATCGGAAACAAAATTTACAAAATAATAACCTAAGAGATTTTTTGTGACGTAACAAAACGGAATGTTAAAAAGTCGTGATTCTTAAAATAATATTTACAAAATGGTAAATTAATTTGGCACCTTACTACTTGAGAGGAAGATTTGGTGCCTTAATACTAAAGGTACTTTCGTACCAAAGCTAAAGTGGTCTAAAGCGAAGTGTTACAAGTCTTATTTGTGACTATATCCCTGATAATGTTAAGATCACTATCCCCTTTATTACTCCCTCTACTTGCATCCTTGTTCATAATTGTTTCTTCTTCATCATCGTCTAATTTATTCCCAGCTGCAATTGCTTCTGCAGAAGAACTTACTGAATCTACAGTTTTGGAATTATGTATATTGAAACCGTGAATAAATGTATTATCTTCAAAATTGTAAGTACAGAAGAAACTTTTAAATCTTCCGTGGTCTGACTTTATCCGCATCTCCTTTAATAGAGATGTTTCTTCACTGGTTTTGATCTCATTCTTTCTGGTACTGTTTGACTTTAAAAAGTGAACCGTTGGCTAGGTTTCTCTTCATCACACTGTTCTATGTAGAGGGCTGGTCTTTCCGTATCAAGGCAAGCGTCAAGTTTGGCATGTCTGATCAAGAGGCCTTGTCGTCGCCAAATCTGTGCATCGTCTGCAGGGTCGCAAGCAGCCAGGATCGCGGTGACACGGTCTTCTGTTGAGAGGGAGACGCAGAGGCGATGGTGACGGATGAGACCGTTTTCGAAACGCCATTCTTGGTTGCCACCTGTGTAGTGGCAGAGGTACATTCCTGGAAATATGCAAAAAAATATATTCAATGAGTATGTTAATTGATAAATCTACAAATTCACAAGTATGGAAATAATACTGATTTATGGTGACGATGTTTCTATTTTTTTAATATTACAATGTTCATTCTTTGGATTCTTGTAGAATGTTTATTGGACTCAATAAACTTACCTAGGGTCCCATCAACAAGATGTCCCATGGTGTCAAGGCACCTAGCTCCTTGTTTGATGACATGAGAGGGCGCAGTCAGAGCTGGTACTTGTAGTTCTGGATAAACATGTTCTAAGTACCAACGGAAAGGCTTGCAGTGAAGTTTCTGACGAAGAGCCACTCGTTCTGATATGCTGCGGAAGAAATTGGGTAAATTTAGTTTCTCATTTGTCAAAAAGCGTTGTTAGTTTTAAATGTTAGGGAAAATATTTAGTTTTAATTCCGCGACAAAGAAAGTTGTTAGTTTTAGCAGTTACCTCGTCGGACAGTGCGATAAGTGGATATATTATTGTTATTTTCTATAGTAAATAGTTATTTTCTTTAAAAAGTTGTTATTTTCTTTAATAAATTGTTTTTTTCTTCAACAAATAATAATAGTTCGACCAGAATTTTTTTTTTTTGTGTTTTGTCCATTTATCGAAATGCTATAAAACATCATTATTCAACCTATAGAAAGCACTACAAGTAGCGTGTGGAACCGCATGGGAGTTACTAGTTTTTACAAGTAAACAGTAGATACATACTGTGCAAGAAAAGCACTTACAAAAAGCCCAATTAAAGTTTTCATCTTCCTTTCGTCAGATTTTGTAATTCACACTTTCATTGCTTGCGGTTTATTTTGTAATTAGAATTTGTAATTGTAGGTTATAAGAAAGGCTCTTAGCAGTGGCTGCGCACGCAAAAAATGGAATTTATACAATTAGTATGATTGAGGAATGAAATTAAATTAATTCCGGCGTCGTTCCCAAGTTTTTTAATATTATCAGCCAATATTAAAATAATATAGTTAGACTAACTGCTGTAAGAGTAAGTATTCCTGGTAATTAAATAAAATGTTTTTATTGATAGCCTTTCAGATTAAAAACAATCAATCCACACTCGCTGGCACGCTCTGAAGAAACATGAGAAAATCTTTCAGTGAAACTATGTAGGTATCAATTTAAACAAAAAAATATGCATTTTACTTACTCTCCATAATCAACTTGTTTGGCTAAAGGCTGAGACCGATAATACAGTTCCTTGTAATCATCCATCCATACTTCAGCTGCTCTTCTCGTATTTCTCGCGAAGACTGCTCCTGAACCACCAGGGAAGGTGTAGGGGTGACGCTTCCTGAAGACGTGGCCCACTCGAGAGCAAGGCACGATCTCCAAAGACCCACCACATTGCCATACCCTGAAATGACCGAATACTTTTTTTATTAATAGTTAGGTTATAAAAGCGAAAATAAATTATGTTAGTGTTGATGGATAATGTTTGCTACACTTTCACACAAAAAACTGCTGAACATTTTGAATTATATTTGATACAGAGATAGATTAGTCTTAAATAACGCGCACTATCCAGGTATTGCAGGAGATGCAAGTATTAGTTTTACTGTTGGATTAAGTTACCTGAACGATATCTCCAAGTTCTCTCCTCCCCAAACGTCCATCTTCATGTCGTATTTGCCGAGTTTGCTAAAGTACTTGCGGTCCATGCTGAACAGTCCCCCAGCTATCATGGGAGTGCGGATCACCTGGGTGGGGTCACTCAATCGGGCGCTACGCTCAGCGTGTCCTAGGTATTCCCACTGGAATGATATTTATATATTATGCTTAACGACTCCTAATTGGTTGTCGAGAACCTCGTCTAGTTTCAAGCCATGGCGATGAGACATTTAATTTTCTCCACTGCACTGTTGGTTCGTTCACCGTGTCGTGGGTCCGGTTCCCGCACGAAACACTTTGTATAATCTACAAATAGTTGTTTCGGATCAAAAAATACAAGTAGGCTGATTTTCATGATCAGCCCAATCTTTTTAAAACTTCACTTTACCCAGCTAAGATTGAAAAAAAGTATATTGCCATGCCAGTAGGCATTTCAACCAATGAGAGCTCAATATAAACTGGTCAATGAGTGACCTGTATAGTACCTCTACCGTGAGCTTATACCAATACTATTTGGCTAGACTCGCCAATTTTATTTCTATAAGTGACAACAAGAGACCATCTGAAATTGGCATATACAAAAAATGTTCGTTGCTATTACTGAGCGTCGACGAGACGATAGCTTAAAACTGATGGTAGACATAGACAACTATCAGTGAGCGTCTTACCTTGAAAACCAGGTTCCAGTCGAACCCGCCGCGCAGGTCCGCCGACGCTCCGATGTACTGGAACGTGTCCATACTGATGACATCTATCACTGGGCAAACTACTCGAGTTGGGTCCTGGTGACAAAAGATATCGTCTGTCAATACAATAAGCAAAATCTATAGCAAAATAAATACCTTATGTCTAATTAATGAAGTCGTTGTGGTGGCCCGGAGGTTAAGGAACCCGCTTCTCATGCATGAGGGTGTGGGCTCGAAACCTGGTAAGTACCAATGTAACTTTTTCCGAGTATTATGTACTTTCTATAATTATTTTGACACCACTGACATACGGTGAAGGTAAACATCGTGAGAAAAATGGGATTAAAATTTCTAATTATAAGTTTGAAATTGCCAAGCAATTGAGCAAGCGTGGTGATTAACGCTCCTTCCAAAACCTTCTCCGTGTGAGAAGAGGCCTTTGCTCAGCAGTGGGCACATATGGGCTGATGATGATGATGATGAATTAATGAAGACCATACAAGTTCAGCTTTTGCAAGTAGCGTGTAGGATATGAAACTGTTCAGTTATTACTAAGATACATCTCAGATATGCCTTTAATAAATATCTTTGTATGCATCATAACGGAGTCCCTACCACGAAGGATCGTGGACGATGAGACCGTGGTATAAATTCTGTGGAGCCGGCCCAACCATGCCGAAGCATGGCTCTCCCACACTTAAAATGGCATGGAGTTTGGACTATCTGTAAGTGAGTTGCACATGTACACTTAGGACAACCATTTATTTACTATTCTAAGTGAGTCTTCCGCCATATAACGTGGTAATCTCGCAATAACAAGCCAGGAAATCGTATATTACAAATATAAACATCTGATTTATAAGGTGCTAAACCCATCAAATAACTACATTTCATATTACAACATACCTAAGTACTTTAAGTTCTAATAAAGCTGCGTAATCACTTGTAAATAGTATCTACCTACATAATTAATTACCTACTATTATTTATTACTTTTATTTACATAACGTTGAAGCCATTTTATTAGGTACAATCAGCGTCAAATGTATAGGGACATTCAGGGTACTTACTCAATTATAGATATAGACGCACAAATACCATTGACATTTAAACTGTACCGATGTTTATATGACGCTTTCAGTGATCCTATTTATATAAGTCTATATAATTGAGTACCTACTCTGAATGCCCTTATATATTTGACGCTCACTGTACTAGAATATTTTTGAGATGTATAATAGTCGAATATCTCCATCCATCCTGGGCGAAGTGAGAAATAGTGACAAACTCTTACTAACCACCTTGTTCAACTTCTGCTTCGAGTAGGATGGCTTCTTAGCTACGACCTTGGCCGAACATCATTCCTAATGGCCCCCTTTTGAGAGCGAAAACATCAAATTCATAGTGTCACTACATATGCTGAGCGAGGGCCATTTCGCGTGCTTGTTAGTTTTCCTTATATTACCTACTCTTTTTTATATTGTATAGCATTTTTTTTGTTTCATGTTTTTTTTGTGTCGTGTAATGCGGTCTAGACGTGAATAAATACTTTTTCTTTCTAATGACTTTTCTCGCTCTGTGACAGGAGGGCGTAGATTTTTACTGACTCAAAACCAACTCGTACAAAAAAAAATAAAAAATAATAATAATAGTTTCTATGATCCTAACCGATAAACCTGCTCCTTTCTATCTTTATTAATTGCATATTCAACTTTGTGGTTTAAAGTTGAAATTAATAGATTCAAGTGTCTTGACCCGTATCTTTACTAATGATGTAAAGAAAGACCTCGGCTCGACCGGAGTGATACCACGGCCTCACAGAAAACCGGCGTGAAATAACCACTGCGTTGTGTTTCGCCGTGTGAGTGAGGTTACTGGAGGCCCAATACTTCCCCTTCCCCAATCCCTCCTCAATCCCTAAATCTCCAAATCCCTAATCCCTAAAAGGTCGGCAACGCACTCGTAACTCCTCTGTTGCGAGTGTCCATGGGCGGCGCTGATTGCTTACCATCAGGTAATCCGTCGGCTCGTATGCCGACTTATTACATAAAAAAAAAAAAAAGAATATTCTAGATTCCGATATCACCCTGACCAACATTCGCAGTAATAGTTTACTTTCAGGCAAATGATTTTGTAGTTAGAGGTCAAATAACATTCACTTTTTACTGAAGAAGATTTATCAACTTTTTTATACATAAATGTTAGTTTAACTAACCGTGTTCTATGTATTGATGAACAGTTACAAATACAACACAAATTGCATAATTACGCTATGATTTAGAATTGAGTAAGTGCTTACTTACATTTTTTTTGTGAAGGTCGTTGTATAAGTCATACAATTTTTCAAATTACCCAAGTAAAGAGGCTAGATGCCCGTCTCTTCTTAGCTTAACTGTATGGCTATGACTTGGTTTAAGTGATACCATATCTGACGTTTGGTATGGTAGTTAAACATTACAAAGACTTACTGTGTCTTAACGAAAAGATTAATATTGTACGTATACAAGTCTCGTATTTTTTAACATGATACACATGTTAAAAAATACGACATGTATCATGGATGAATATTGAGAAAACCTATAAGTGATGAAAAGAATATTTAAAATCAAATCTTTTATTTGCATCTAAACCAAAAACAGGAGCTTTGAAAACATTAAGAAAAACAGTCCTTCAGTTCGATATCTGTGAGACAAGTAGTTACAAATGAATCAATTTACTTTACCATGCTTCACTATGTTTAGATTTAGTCAAATGTTAAAAAGTTGAGTAAAAGTAAAAACTAATTTGACAACTAAAAATAGTATAGTATAGCTTATATATAGTAATACGATCCTAACAGCTCGAAACACAAGAAAACTAAACATTGCGATAAACACGTTCCCGATTCTAGGAAACAGATTTTTATAATAACTTGTTAAAGAAATACAATACGAAAAAAGAAATAACAAGAAATCGAAGCCTTTGAATCAACATCAAGTTCTAAAAAAGGCGAAGTTCCAAGTACTGAACCTTTCGAAATCCAGGCAAAATCAACTTTGCCTAACTAGGAAAAAACCAGAACATTTTTGAATCCATACTAATGCTGATTTCTTGTAATTAGGCCAGTTCTTCGAAATGCTAATTGTTTTCTGAAACAATGATACCGTCTACTTTATTCCTATATATTTCTTCCAGTTAGTTCATTACTCGAGTCACCTGGTTGAGTTGCGTGACTGAAAATTCATAATTTCCGAATTTTATTCATAATCAACTGAAATATAGTATAATTGAAATACAGGTCAGATAGGCATAAGCGATACTACTTTAGTTGGGAAAGCTAGCTTCCGGCTGACGCAGGTGCTTACCGGACACGGGTGTTTCGGGAAGTACCTGTGTCGCATAGGCCGGGAGCCGACGTCTCAGTGCCACCATTGTGGTAATTGCCGCGACGATACGGCGCTGCATACGTTGTCGGAATGTCCAGCTTGGGCCGAGCAGCGCCGTGACCTGGTCGCGGCCGTAGGTGCTGCGGGAAATCTCTCGCTTCCGGCTGTAGTGTCTACTATGGTCGGGAGCGAGTCAGGGTGGAGTGCCGTCGGTATCTTTTGCGAGGCCATGATGCTCGCAAAGGAGGCGACGGAAAGGGAGAGAGAGGCTGCCTCCTCTCTTCCCTCCCGCAGCAGACGCACTAGACGTCATAGAGTGGCCGACCTGCGGCCACCGTAGGGCGCGGCCTGCGGACGACAGACTCGGGGCGTCTAGTCCTCCGACCAGCAGCAGGCCTCGAGGCGGCGGTGCCGTGTTCCGCGCGCGCCTCATAGTGGAGTCCTGCGGTCGGGGTGACGGCCGCAGTGGGTGACGGGGCCCGCCTTACCATCTGGCGGGCCAATACCCGTCGGGGGGTTGCGACGAATGCTTCGGCGATACTCGCCCCTCCGACACATGGGTTATTGGAGGAACACCGGGTTGGTTTTTAGTCAGTAAGAATCTGACAGTACCCTTCGCCCTTACCCCGAGGGCGGTGGGTCTCCACGAGGATTTTCCAACCCGACACAAAAAAAAAAAAAAAAGTAGGGAAAGCTACAAATTGGTAGCTTTCATAATAAAACTACAGTGATCAATACTGACTTGAAATAAAGTATGTAACAGTCTGTTGTACAGGTAACAAAATTGACCCGTACAAACGTACTGGGTCAATTTTGTTTTCTTACCTGTAACAGTACACAGTCACACAGTCAAGTAAATCATATACTTATTTTTTTATTACATACAGCTGATTCAACAAGCTTTATTGGCTGCTATTTCTATTCCTTTTTTTTTTGTCAGGGGAAAATCATCAAATGACTTCTCCCGCCCAGGGTTAGGCGAGAGAGAGTGTCAGACTCTTACTGACTAAAAATCCCCCTTGTTCCTTCTACTGCTCTGGGCCGAGGCAGCGGTGACTGATTGCGCTTAACCCGCAACCCTGGCTGAACAGCAGCCCTAAAGGGCCCCGTCTGTGGAGGTCCATTGGCTCTTTGAGGTGCGCGGAATGCTACGCGCTGTACGCTCGGGTCTGGTTCTTGTCGGGCGGCGAGCTACCCTTACCGCCGTCCGCAGACCCGCGCTTACGGTGGCCGGAGATCATCTCTCGATCCTTCACGCCCGGATTTATATTAAATCAAACTTTATTTTCGAATTACGTTTTGATACCCGTCCCGTTGTAACTTGAAACTCGTAGAGCTTTTCTCTGTTAAGTCGCGTAAGTAAGTCGTTATTTTCGATAAATTGACATGTGCTATTATCACTAGGTGGTTTAGAGTCTTAACTACTATTAGCTTTCATTATTTTGTTTCAATGCCAAGTGTAGTGTGAAGGTTACACACAAGTTATTGCGTAACAAGAAAACGGATGTAGAAGCTGTTATGAGTTGTATGCAAGAAGTGAATGTGCTAGTTGAATATGAGTAGGTTAGTAGCAATATTTACTCTTTAAGATCTAATTATGCATGTCATAAGGTTTGGTGGCCTTCGAAAACTAAGCTAACTTTCTTTATTCACTAGCAGGCAGATGGGTCTTAATTATTGATTGTTAATGATAGTTGATTAAAGATTCCTTCAGGACATCATCTCATCATC